CGGGGGGCCCTGCGACCGGGGCGCCGGGGTTCCCGGGCCAGCCTGCGCCGCTCTGGGCCCCCGGGCCACTTGTCGTAGGGAGCCGGTTGCAAGGAAGACAGTGCCATCCCTTTGCGTTCTTTGAGGTGACTAGAAAGGGAAGGAAAACCTTACGGTGCCCCGCAGTTCTTGACCCGACCCCGATTAGTAAAGTAGAAACCGCACCTGTTAGCAGCGGCAGAGCCGGGGGACCAGGTGAGGAGCCAGACAGGACTTCAGGCAGGACGGGAGGCGCTGGGAAGGAGCTTAGGTTCCTCCCCGACCCCCCACCGCTTGGCCACAGGACTGTCCCTTAGGGCTGCAGACCCTTTAACTGGGTTCCAGGCCCAGCCTTCCTCAAAGTCCCGGTTTCTTGGAGGACAGGTCTTAATAAAGTCAGTCCAGTGTCACCTTAAGAGTTTTACTGTGTAACCCCTTCCAGGGGTATACGTATTTCAAAAACAGCCGGAAGAAGCTACACTTTAACCACAGAACTAAATCTACCCCAAAACTGCCCATTGAAAGGCAGAGAAGTCTTGCCCTTGCCAGCGAGGTCTTTTGGGGAAGCCTCGTTCAGGTCCCATGATTGTTTCAGACCCCGCGCCCTTCCTTCTGTCTGAGCAAACTTTTGCCGTCCCTCCCTGGTAGAGCGCAGTCCCCATGAAGCCTGCGTGGTGGTGTGCTGGGAGACTGAGCGGGGAGAGGGTGGGCGTGGGAGGGAGGGCAGGAGTGGTCCTAGGCCCCACCGAACATCCCACCCACCTCCACAAACATTACGGAATGCCCAGATTGTGTGCCGGTCCAGCAAGGAGACAGGCAGGACCTGGACTGATGGCTTCCTTCTGGCTTTTGACACCTGCTCTCTTCTCTGAGGAGTCAGGCTCCTCTCTGCTGTGGGACTTGTGGGCTTAAGCCCAGTCTCTCTCCCGGTTGTGTCTACACAGTGGGAAAACTACTATCTTGAGTTTATATTACATTATCTAAAACCAACTAAACAAACTATGACAAAAGGTGTGCCCAGACAGAGCCACAGGGACCAGCTCTGATTTCCCTGATTAAAAGCCCCACGGCACTGCAAACTGTGTGACGTAGGAAAATACAGAGCTACAGTTGAGCTTGGCATAAAAATCAGTGTCCTAGTCCCCAGCCTGGGCATCAGAGTCTTGCGCAGGCAAACTAGTTTAGAAGTGGCCTCATCCATGCTGAGCTGGGAAGCTCATGAAGGTGGCTCCCAGCTACTTGGTTAGATGAAGTCCCCAAGCTGACAAACCAGCGTGAAGGGGGTAGTTAGCGGAGTTGGGCCAAGTGTGTGGATATCCTCTGGGGTCTCTAAATGAGAGAATTCCCTGGAAATGTGAAATACTAGGGGGAAATTTTGTTTCTGCTCTGCCCATTGTTTGATGTCTGCACCCAGCATGGGGTGTCCAGAGTTCTAATACTGAACAAGCTTTTGAAATTGAGGCCCCCTAATGGCCATGTTTATTTTTAGTTATAGTGAACCCACTTCAGGGAGGTATCTGCCCTCGAACCCCAGGCCTGGACAAGAGGACGTGGAATACTACCAGTCAGAGGCTGAAGGACTCCTGGAATGCCACAAATGCAAATACTTGTGCACTGGGAGAGGTGAGCTATTTTGGAGGCAGTTTGGCCATTTACTGTCACTGGTGGTACTGGAAGGGGCCTGAACTGGTGAAGCAAAAGTTCAAGCAGAATTGAGTTCCTAGCATTTTTCGTTTTCATGCATGCATAAGGTTCTCATTTTCTTTAAAAAAAAAAAAAAAAAAGGGTAGAAATGTCCAAAAGGTGCAGCCATGTTTGAAGTTTTTAAGCTCCAGGTGGACTGTAGGNTTAAAAAAAAAAAAAAAAAAAAAAGGGTAGAAATGTCCAAAAGGTGCAGCCATGTTTGAAGTTTTTAAGCTCCAGGTGGACTGTAGGTAGAGTCAGCTCTGAGCTGCCAGCTGTCAGGGAGCTGAGGTAGAGAAGTCACCTGGAGGGAGCAGCTGGGTTGCAGTTCACAAGAGATCTGGTGCCCAAACATTCCATCATGGCTTTTATTTATTTATTTTTAAATATTTTTATTGATTTCAGAGAGTGAGGGAGAGAAAGAGGGAAAAACATCAGTGATGAGAGGGAGTCACTGATCATCTGCCTCCCGCACGACTCCCGCTGGGGATTGAGCCCTCAACCAGGGCATGTGCCCTGATCGGGAATCGAACCACGATCTCCTGGATCATAGGTTGATGCTCAACTGCTGAGCCCCGCTGGCAGGGCCCATCATGGCTCTGAAACTTTGTTGGCCAAGACCCACAGTAAGAAATGTATTTTACATTCAGGCCAAGTTCACACACACACACACACACACACACACACACACACACACAAATATGTCTTGAAATAATATCCTATTACAATACCAAGTGCATGGGTAATTTCTATTCTATCCTATTTCATTAAAAAAAAAAAGCCACACTTATTAGCACCCAGAGTTTGAAAAAACACTTACTATCATGTGCTAGCCCCAGATGTGGTTTCCCAGAGTTCCCATGCCGGCAGCAGTCCTGGCCTGGCCAGCAATGAAGAAAATCTGGTTTGTCAGGGCGATCCCTGATGGCTCACATGATTGGGTGAGAAATTTTCCTAGGCTGCATGAGTAAGGGGGGAAAACTTCTCAGCCTAAGGGAGAGGCGTCATGGAACTTATACCTGAAAATGTATTTTAGGATGATTACAATGATGTACATGATTATAGGATTATATGGAACTTTCATTGAAGAGCTCTAGGCAGTTCTGGTACAAGAATCCACTTCATTTTACATATGTTGACACAACCTCATCGCTTTTCATTCTCTCAGCAACTCCTGAGGCTCAGAGAGATGCAGTAAGTTGCCCAAAGTTACACAGCTGTTAAATGAAAGAGCTGGGATTGAAACTTAGAGCCTGACTCTAAGGCCTGAAATGGTTTACTTGCTGGATCTTTCTTCTTTTCTTGATGATATAAATAATAGGAATAAGCCAGGCTGGTTAACAGGTTTCTCTATAGGGGTAAGTTTTCCTCTGTGTTGATTTACCGGGAGGGCAGAGCTTAAGGCTCCTGACCAAAACACATCCTGATTTACCTTTGATTGCTTGTGGCTGGCTTTAGGCGTAGAGATTGAGTTTCTCAGTCATGATAGTGAAAGGATGGCTCAGCAGCCAGAAGCTAACAAATGAGGGCTTATAAAGATCTCTGTGCGCGCAGAGACCCATATAAGTACACAGTACGGTGTTGTGTTGAGAGAAATGGCCATTAAACACCAGGAACTGCTCTCAAGCAGGAAATGCACGCATGGATAAAGGTCGCGGTCTCAGCGTTCATCTTTTATGATTTCTTTTCCTTATCGGTGAAATCATGTCCTCCTTCCTCCAGCAAACTGGCAAAACTGGGAGGCTGTGGCCCTCTCCAGCTTCCAGGGGAGACCCTGAAGTTTGGGCTCTGAGTCGCTCTAACAGGACTTTCAGTGGTTATGCTGAGAACACTGACAGGAAAGAGAGAGGCCCCCAGTCCACTTTTACAGGCAGAGACTAAAATCTTTAGGTGCTGAGGATAAAGATGAGATAAAAAGCAAGTGCAGGTGTCACATGTGGATATCAGATCACCAGGACTCCTGTCCGTGTGAAGGTTGTGCTCATTCATGATTTAGAGGGACCGGTGAGGAGTTACATGTTCCCTGGGAAGAAAGTACATTTCTTGGCTCCTCCAGTTTGCATTTGGAGTAGCTTCTCCTTTCCCTTTTGTTCATTCCCTCTCCCTTTAGACCCTTAGTGCTCAAATCATCATGGAGAAAATCACTGGAGAGCTAGGCCAGCGTAACAAAGAAGTTGTTGAAAAATAAAAAAAAAATAATAATTTTAAAAAAACACATGATGATGTTTGCATTCAGTTTATAGACTTACTTGCAAAGCATCTTTAAAAGTTTAATTTTCTCCCAAGAAAGTTGTAATCCCTAGAGTCAGTGGTGCGTGTCTCTCACTCAGAGCCTGGAGATTGAGGTTTTGATATGGCTTCCCACAGCCAATGCACTGACTTGTGATCACATTGGAAAGATTCAGGGGGGACAGTTGTGGGGCTCCTCCCCTAATTAATATTCTCAGTCCCCCCTTTTAGGTACTTGCTTATTTTTAATATGTTTTCCTTGATTTCAGAGAGAGGGAGGGAAGGAGATATAGAAACATCAATGATAAGAGAGTCATTGATCAGCTGCGTCCTGCATGCCCGCTACTGGGGATCGAGCAACCCGGGCATGTACTCTGACCGGGAATCGAACAGGGACCTCCTGGTTCATGGGTCGGTGTTCAACCACTGAGCCCTCCTGCCAGGCTTAGGTACTTATTTAATACCCTACCCCAGTACTTATCTGGACTGAGCTTAGGCCAAGATTTCAAACCACCTTGGACTTTAAGAGTGTTAACTCATGAACAGATCTGAAAGATTGAGCCCAGGTCAGAGGAAGGAATGACCGCAAATGAACTATTGCCTCTTTGGAAAGAGAAGGGGGCTTAGCAGAGAGCCAGATTCCTTCATGGGGCGAGGAAGCCCTGGAGAGCCTGTGAGCCTTGATTTTTAAAAACGGATACCCCCTGGACATCCCTCCCAGCCCAGGTGATTCTTTTCTGGTTCTATTAAACCTAAAACAGGAATAAGGGGCTCATGGGAGCTCGAGCCCTCCGCACAGTCCAATAAGAAATATATAGCATATTTTTCCTCCCGTTAGCAAAACACTGGGAAAAGCCTAAATGTCCTTTACACTGGAATTATTTAAAACCATTGTGGTATTCTTTGCATCCCTTAACATTCTTTTTTTAAAAAAATATGTTTTTATTGATTTCAGAGAGAGGGAGAGAGAGAAACATCAATGATGAGAGACAGCCATCGACCAGCTGCCTCCTGCACGCCCCCTACTGGGGATTGAGCCCATAGCACGGGCTTGTGCCCTGACTGGGAATCCGAACCATGACTTCCTGGTTCATGGGTCGACGGTCAACCACTGAGCCATGCCAGCCGGGCAACATCCCTTAACATTATTAAGTACATTTACTTTTGCTGCGATAGAAAAAATGTTCACACCATATTATTCTTAAGTGAAAAAATAGGCTATATAAGCAGTAGATAGAGTAGGACTCTGTTCTTACCTAAACAAGCAAATAAACAGTGGCAAAAATTATGGGTACATGGCGGAAAAGTCCAGAAGAAAAACTGTGCTTTTTAAAAATTATCGGTTGGAATTTAGGTAATTTTTACATTATATATTTCTGTTTTATCTACATTTTTTGGTAAGTATATGTTACTTTTATAGTTAAAGAAAACAGTAATGCTATTTGAATTTTAGGGGGAAATTACAGAGTGTAAAGATAATATTTGAGAGTTCATCATTTCGATTAGAGAGTGTGTAGATGTAACACAGCTTCATATACAGACCAAATGGGCCCGGGCATAAAATCCGGTTCTCTAAATGCCAGGCGGATGCTGACAACCTGACATCAGAGTCCGCTGACCCACCAGAGACCTTCCAGCAGGCACAGTCCCCAAGCTCAGAAGCACCCAGCTTCATATTATGCTGAGATACACTAGAGAGTACATCACTATGATTCCATCTATAGTACCTGAATTTCTAGAAAAGGCAAACCTATTCCTAATGGCAGCAAGCATATCAGTGGTTGGCTGAGGGGGAAAGCGAGGGATTGATGGCAAAGGTCAAATTTCCAGGGAACTTTCTGGCAGATGAAACGGTCTGTGTCTTGATGTTGATTACATGATCGATTACATGCCAAAACCCAAGCTGTGTGTTTAACCTGGGCCATTTTGTTGAGTATGAGTTATATCTCAAAAAAGCTGATTTTAAGGAGAGCAGCCAGCTTTGGTGGAAGAGCTGGGGCTCTTTCCTTGTCCACGATAAAGAAGCTAGGGGCCCTGAAAGAATCCAGCTCTGCTCTTTAGGAAAACAAAGTTACACTTTAAAACACACTTACTGAGCCCTAGCCAGTTTGGCTCAGTGGTTAGAGTGTTGGCCTCTAGACTGAAGGATCCCAGGTTCAATTCTGGTCAAGGACATGCACCTCAGTTGCAGGCTCAGTACCCTGGTTGCAGGCTCAATCCCTGGCCCAGGTCGGGGCCCTTTCGGGAGGCAACCAATCAATGTCTCTCTCCCATTGATGTTTCTCTCTCCCTTCCACTCTCTCTGAAAAGCAATGGAAAAAATATCCGCAGGTGAGGATTAAAATAAATAAGTAAATAATTAAAACATACTTGTTTCTTTAATTCCATAAGCCTGACAGGTTTAATTAACTTAATTGCTCCTATTCTAACACCTGTGAACCACGGTTAACATTTTGATGCATATCTTCCATACTTTTTTCTAACTATTATGTTTTTAACTTCTAATTTTCTTCCAACTTGGATACGTCACCTCTTTCAAACAGAAGATAGCCACAAAGCAAATCTAAATGGGAGACAACTATTTTTCAGTCTTTCTGACAGAGAAGGGCTGGGGCGAAGAAAGTTCTTGCCTTCCATACAGGATGCCTTTCTCTCTGCTCGCTGGCCTGCTTTCTCCCACCGTCATCCTGCACCCCACCTGGGCAGGCTGCTTGGCCCTTTTTGAGAGTTACTCTTTTCAGTCCAAAGTATCTCTGACATCACTTCTGGAGACCACAGTTCCCAGCTACCATCTACTGCAGCTTTGGCTGCTCGGGCCTCCCAGAGGGCAAAATAGCCAGCTGTGGTTTGAGCTGCCACTGGGAAGACAGCCTCAAGGTGGATGTCTCCAAGTGCAAAATCGCTTCTCTCAAAACGGTAATGCACCCTTCTTTTGCAGCCTGCTGCCAAATGCTGGAGGTTCTCCTGAACTTGCTGATCGTGGTCTGCAGCTCTGTATCTTACAATTCCACAGGGGGCTACACAGGCATCACCAGCCTGGGGGGCATTTACTATTACCAGTTTGGAGGGGCTTACAGTGGTTTCCATGGTGCTGATGGGGAGAAAGCGCAGCAGCTGGACATCCAGTTCTACCAGCTAAAGCTGCCCACAGTCACAGCGGCAATGGCCTACGGTGGAGCCCTCATGGCCTTCTGCTGCCTCCTCATCGCCATGGGCGTCCTGCGGGTCCCGTGGCATTGCCCCGTGTGGCTGCTGGTCGAAGGCCTGCTGGACGTGCTCATCGCCGGGGCCTACGTGCCAGCTCTGTACTTTTACTTCCACTCGCTCTCGGCCGCCTACGCCTCTCCCGTGTGTCAGGAGAGGGAGGCCCTGTACCAGAGCAAAGGCTACAGCGGCTTCAGCTGCACTTTCCACGGGGGAGATATAGGAGCTGGCATCTTTGCTGCCCTGGGCATTGGGGCCTTTGCCGTGGGGGCCGTGCTGGCCATCAGGGGTTACCAAAAGGTCAGGAAGCTCAAAGAGAAGCCTACAGAAATGTTAGTGTTTTAGGCTTTTTAAAACGTCCTGCCAAACGGAAGTGGTGTAAGTTACTCTGAATCACGGTCTTTCTTGGAATATGTTGTGGAACTTGCCAAGGCTTGAAAACTAACAGGCCAATTTTGGTATCCCGAGTGCAGCTCTGGGTTGCATGGACTGTTGTTGTCTGACATAATAAGCCTGGTTCTGGAGTCTTCTGGTGGTGAGGGACACACCAAAATTATTTTTAAAACAAAAACTGGAGCCTAAGACCCCCAAGGAAAAGGCCTGTGCTGCAGCAGAGTGTCCTTGTTGAATAAATGCAGGGAGATAACCAAGCGAATTTAAAGAACCTTATCTTCAGAGTTCAAGAAAAGCCACAAAGACATGAGACATTTCAGCCTGAACTTTTCTGAGCACAGTCGTCTTAAGCAGATTAGCCCCGAATTTTTTCCACACTAAACTCCAATGGCCTCCACTTCCTTCATGCTCTGGATGCAGGGGTGGGATGCTGGGGAGGTTCCTGTAAAATTGAAGTTGGAGGTAGGTGTGGGCTGAGGAAACAGGAATCAGATTAATTTGCTGGGTTGCAAAGAAGCTATTCTTACGAGCCCCTTACCACGGCTGTGAAAGCTCAATAAGTGTTTTGTACCTCTTACAAGTGTACCATTGTATGAGGAATAAAGCTGGACATCAGGAATTCAGGATCCACCCAGAATAAAGAATGTAAACTCTTTCCTGACAGAAGAATGCTGCTTTTGGCCAGACAACTTCATGGGTTCTTATTACATGTTAAATTACGACTTACAGTACATTATGGTATATTCTTGGTACAAGTGAATGTGTCCTTTGCTTTATGTGAATCTAATAAAAATCCAAAGAAAATTTTAATTTAGAGGTGATGGTTCTCTTTACAATACATTTATAACACAATATTATTCCCTTAAATACAGGCAACATCACATTTAAAAGGTGAGTTCCATTTGGGTTTAGAAAAGGAAATTATAATATGCTTGTCTGTGATTAGAAAATTCTTGAAGAATACACAAGAAAGCATTAACAGTATTTGCTTCTGGAGAAGAGGTTTTTTTTTTTTTTAAATCCTCACCCAAGGATATTTTTTCCATCACCTCTTCAGACAGAGAGTGGAAGGGGGAGAGAATGAAACATCGATTTCGGAGAGAGACATCAATTGGTTGCCTCCCGCACGCATCCCGACAGGGACTGAGCCTGCAACTGAGGTACTTGCGGTTAGCTGGAATCAAACCCAGTACCCTTCTGTCCACAGGCCAACGCTGTAACCACTGAGCCAAACCGGCCAGTGCAGGGAGATTTAAAAAAAATTTTCATTTAGCCTGGCTAGGGGTGGCTGAGCGGTTGAGCATCGACCTAGGATCCAGGAGATTGCGGTTCGATTCCCGGTCAGGGCACATGCCCAGGTTGCGGGCTCGATCCCCAGTCCAGAGCGTGCAGGAGGCAGCCGATCAATGACAACTCTCTGATCATTCATGTTTCAACTCTCTCTCTCCCTCTCCCTTCCTTTCTCTGAAATCAATGAAGACATATTTTTTTAAAAAAAATTTTTTTTTCATTTAATGCACGGCTTGACTGCCCATATTTTCATTTTATTTTAGATAAATAAAAATTTGACCTGCTCACTCCAATTTGTCACATTTGCAGTGCAAAGGCAGAAGTAGATGTATAATTAAGCAGCGTATTAAATGNAACCCAGTACCCTTCTGTCCACAGGCCAACGCTGTAACCACTGAGCCAAACCGGCCAGTGCAGGGAGATTTAAAAAAAATTTTCATTTAGCCTGGCCAGGGGTGGCTGAGCGGTTGAGCATCGACCTAGGATCCAGGAGATTGCGGTTCGATTCCCGGTCAGGGCACATGCCCAGGTTGCGGGCTCGATCCCCAGTCCAGAGCGTGCAGGAGGCAGCCGATCAATGACAACTCTCTGATCATTCATGTTTCAACTCTCTCTCTCCCTCTCCCTTCCTTTCTCTGAAATCAATGAAGACATATTTTTTTAAAAAAAATTTTTTTTTCATTTAATGCACGGCTTGACTGCCCATATTTTCATTTTATTTTAGATAAATAAAAATTTGACCTGCTCACTCCAATTTGTCACATTTGCAGTGCAAAGGCAGAAGTAGATGTATAATTAAGCAGCGTATTAAATGGTCAGCCATGGAAGCAGCCTCCCTGAGAAAGACACTATTTACAACAAAAATCTCACTTTCAGAGTGTCTATTTCCCTCCATAGAGCCCTCTACTGTCTTTCCAGCGATTTGTTCCATCTCACCAGAGGGAAACTGCCAGCTCTGGTCAGCCTGCTTCTTTCCTCCTGCTGTCTGTGACTCCTTCCGTACTAACAGCATGCTTGGAAATACCTGAGCCTGTCTGATGGTGATGTCTAAGTTAGGTCAGGCTGGCCGGTACTGTGGCCATATTCCATCAAGAGGCCATTATTCCTCTCGATTGCTGCAGTCAGTGGGTTGGTTGATAAGATCTAGATTTATTCCATTTCAGCCCAGCAGATAGCTGCTGCATGGATTATGACTCCATTGTTTTAACAGATTCTGTGCCAGAAAGAAACGTTCAGGTTTCCACATCTCGTAGTAGGACAATATTCCTGTTTCTCGACAGGGGGTGAGATATTAACATGTGTACAAGAGGAAAACCAAGGCAGAGAAAAGTGTTGGGTAGGGGGAACTCACTCCCTGTGAATTAGAACGATGTCTGGGTCAGTTCACTCGCTCTGCTGTAGGGAGAGAGTAGCCAGTGGCTTCAGTGCCAGGGTGGAGAGTGGGCAGCTCTGATCTGATGTTATTTTCAGATTTAGAGGAATGTAGCTTCTCAACTGTCAGAGCCTTTGACTGCTGTGTCCCATGGACCTCCTAGGAATTCGTGTGTGCCCAGCGGGAGATAGGATCAGCAGGCCCAGTAGCTGTTGCCTCAGTACATTAGATGGAGATACTGGTCTTTAGCCACCCAGCTGATAAACGTGGTATGCCTAGTATATTAGAGGGTTTTCCTGATTTCTGAGAAGCCACACTTCTCATAAGTTCTTCCTATTCCTAAATCTCTCACTCAGCCCCTTCCATTTTATAAACATTATTGGGTAGCATCACCACCCACTTGTTTAACATTTTATGGTTTTTCCAAATATTTTCCTATATTTGCTTTCATTTGGGCCTTGCCACGGATCTGTGGGATAAGACAGGTAGGCATTATCTTCATTTGTCAAGTGAAGTGTCTGAGGATTTTGGACAGTGACCTGGGCCAAGGTCACAGGCAGTAAAGAGCAGGGACGTGAACCTGGCGTTCCCACCCTAGGTTCACATGCTTTCCTCTTAGTTCCATGTCTGAACCCTGAGGGAATGGCAGGAGACCTCCCAGAAGTAAGTCTCAAAGAGCGGGGACTCTGCCAGTTACAAATGAGAGCTGTCCTTGGACAGAAGACATTCACCTGTTGGCTCCCGCTGCCTCATGGCACTTGTAGGTTCCTTAAACTTGTAAGAAATGCCCAAGGAGACAGCCAATAGGACCCTGAATAGACTGGTACATCCACCCAATGGAGTTGGAGGCCATGCAACGAAGAATGTGGACAGCTAACCTGAAAACATCTCTACGAAGAATAAATGAGAAAAGCAAGGTGAAGAATAGTATACATGCTGTGCTTCCTTGTGAAAAAGGCAGGAAAGGGGGGTGGAAGGCAGACTTGAATGTGCTCTTATTTGCACAAGGGAACACAGTTATATTAGAAAATCATGAAAGTGGCATAGAGAACAGGGTGGACAGGAACACGAGTGATTTTTCTGTTTATACCTTTTTACATCATTTTGATTTTTTTTAAACTTTAAAATGTGAACTAAAGATTCATAAAACATTGCCAAAAATAGTAGAGATCCTGTGTACCCTACACCCAATTTTCTCCTATGGTGACACCTTACATTACTATAATATTAATACCACAACTCTGCAAAGTTCAGATGTCACCAGTTAAATGCACTCGTGTCTGTGTGTGTGGTTCCACATAGTTTTATCACATGTAGATTAGTGTGACCACCATCATAATCAAGTATAGAACTATTCCATCATCCCTTGTGCTCCCCCATCTAGTCACACCCATCCCCCAACAACCACAGCTGTTGCCTGTATGAACAGTTTGTTTCTTCTTATTGTTGAGTAGAATATTCCTTGGTATGGGTGTTCCGGATTGTTTAACCATCTGCCCTTTGAGACATCTGGGTTGTTTCTGGTATTTGGCGATTACAAATACAGCTACTGTGAACATTCGTGTAAGTGTTTTCGTGTAGACCGAAGTTTGCATTTCTTTAGGGTAAGAGCTCAGGAGTACAGGTGCAGGGTCACATGGTAAGTGGTATGTTTTGCTTTTATTTAAAAAACTGTTAAAAAATTTTCCAGGGTGACATTCCGATTTTTCAAACATATGAACATTGAAAAATAAATCAAGGCTGTTAATGTTGAGTCTGACCATGTCCTTAAAATCAGGGCAGCAGTATTTCTCTAGTCTGACCTGGAAAGGTCTCCTGGATACGTGATGCTCTTGTTATATCCTGAATCTTTCTCCTCCTAGGTGTGGTACAGATAGTGGAGGTGATACTGAATGGGATGGTTCTCATGTGTATCGTGGCTTCCTACTTTGTCCTTGCTGGATTCAGCGCCAGCTTTGCCAGTGGCGGCGGCTTTGGAAGCAACTATTACTCACCGTTTGAAGGCACTGAGCTGGAGGAGGTTCGGCAGCTGGACCAGCAGTACACAATCCTCCGGGCACCCCTGATATACGGTGGCGTGGCTGTTTCTCTGGGGCTGGGTGTCCTCACCATGGGTGTTTTACTCCAAGGAGCCAAGAGTCTAACCAAACTGCCCAGGAACTGGCTCCTCCTGGAGGCCGCCTTCAGCGTCCTGGCAGCAGTGGGCTACTGCACAGGCGTCGGGGTTTACCTCCACGTCGCCTTGCGGATCAATGCTACAGACACTTGCAAGAGAAGAGAAAGGCTCTATGCACGCAAAGGTCTCACCTGGATGAACTGCCAGCTGTCAGGCACTGACGGAGCGGCTGCCACCTTTGCCTGTCTTCTGGTGATAATGTACGGAGTCAGTGTGGTGCTGGCCCTACGGAGCTACCGAGAACAGAAGCACTACAAAGACAGCCGGGAACAGCACAGAAATTACAGCGAAGCACCGGAGTATCTGTGGTCAGGAACACTCTGAGATCTCTTGGAACCTAAATGTCAACCCACCTCCCTGGTCTCTCTCAAAAAGATGGGTCCTTTAAAACCACACATTGGACAACTGGTGTTTTCACCTATGCAATTTTATAAATGTTCTCTGCGGTACCAATGCAAAGCTAGATGGTCATCTCATTTTTCTATCAATAAGCTTTTCAAGCTCAAAGCTTGAAAAAACTATTTCCACTTTTGCTACAAAGAACATCAGAAGGTTGGGTGTGCCCGTATGGTATGGCTCCCGCACCAAATAGTAAGGTAGTAATGATAATGAGCGCCAGAGAAATTCTGCAAGTTGAGAACTACACACCAGGGGTAGCAGGCCCCAGGAAGTCACCAAAAGAAATAAGCCACTTCCCCTCATACTTGGTCCCAGGGGAACGATTTTAAAGCAGCTTTGTGACTGAATTCTAAATGAGTAATTACATTCTGACCCTCTCCTAGAGGGAAACTGTTCTGCCCATTAGAGGTAAGAGGCCGGACTGCCCACACATGAAGATAGATGCTTTTAGCATGCACTTTCCTCAAGATTCCTACATTAGGGTGGAGAGAAAATGTTTTGTTTTGGGGTTTTTGCCAGCATTCCAAGTTAGTTTCTTTTTTCTTGCAAGGCATTTAACTGGAATTCAACTTTCCCAGAATATGTTTCTTAAATATGAGGCCTCCTATAGTGAGAAATGAAAATCATAAACTTCTTAAATGTGTTATTGAACTGTTTCTAAGATAAAGCAGTTCATTTTACTAGACTATAAAGGCCTACAGGAGGCCTCCTCATTGCTGTGTTCCCCGACGGTGTTCTATAGAGTAAGCCTTCAAAGGTAGGTTGTAATCTCTCATGATCCTGATGTACTTTCATAATGTAACAGATCATGAACACTGAATCTGAAAAATAAAGTTTTCATAATTTTAATCCAAAGTCTTATAGCTGTCCTTATACTTTACAACTGGTCTCAGATTTTTAGTTCATGTCAGATGCAACTGCAAATATACACATTATATTTAAAGTATAGGGTTTTTTACGAATTTTCCTCTTGCGTTTCAATAGCTAATTCTTTTTCTAAATCATTGTTTTATGTTCATATTATAAACAAGATTAAACTATTATATAAATAGAGGGTGTCCCCACAAAAATGTGCACACACTTTAACAGATGACAGCTCAATTTCGAAAATGAAATGTATTTTAGCAAACACTGCCTTTATAATTATTCAAAGTGTGTGTATACATTTTTTGGGACACCCTATATGTTTATATAATATATATTACGTAATATATAATGTAAAGTATTATATATATTCAAACCAGATTTTTAGAAATTTCTAAGAATAGCAATTTTGACATAAGTCTCACATTCTCTAATCTATACAGTAAGAAACCAGCGAACATAATCCTCTTTCAACACATGCCAAAACACGTTGGCTGTTTTTACCCCTGCGTGTCTGACTCTCCTCCCTCTCCCCCACCCCACCCCTCAACTCCTCTCCTCCCTGTCATCTATAGTTAATTCTTACGGAACCTTCCAAGTGAAGGATCCAAACAGAATCTCGTGGAGAAATGGGAGATTACCTAAATTATACTTTTACAAAAAGTAAAGCTTGGAGGGAAACAATCAACTAGAAATCTACATTGCTAGGTTAAAATACAAACATTTGAGCCACATAAAGACACTTCCACTCTATCACTCTTAGCCCCACAGGTTCACTAAGTGGTACACAAACAGTTTAACCACAGGAAAAATCTAACAGCCCAATCCCTACCCACCCCCTAAAAAAACACCCCCCCTCTCAAAACACACACACACACACACACACACACACACACACCCCTAGAATTTATTCCCAGATTCCCTGAAACACATCCTGTGTCTAGGTCATGCTTGATAAAATGAGGGCTTTGGCCTGTCTAACCCCAACGTTGTGCCCAGGCCCAGCTATAACACTGCTCCCAAGATTCAGCTCCTCTCGAGTGACTGAAGCCCATGAGTCACTGTAATCACATTGCCCCATGTCTGCAGTTCCCAATCACATCTTATTTCCTACCACTTGAGAAGGCAGGTCAAGATTCATCATTTACATTTTACAGATGAGGAGACAAAGGTTCAAGAAGGTTAAGTGGTTTACCCAACAGCTGACATTTCGCTGACTAATCACTATGTGCCAGATCCACAACCAAGCTAAGGAAGCATTTTGCATCTTTCATCTCATTTAAGCTCACAACTTGAGAGATACTATTATTTCCATTTAACAGTCAAGGGAGGTGGGGGGAGCCTTGGAGAGGTTAACTGCCTAAATTCAAACCTGAGGGGCAGAGGTGAAACTCTGGACCAATGAATCACACACTGCAATATGTTGTGACAGATACTCTTGCGGCCTTTTGTGTGCCAGGGGACTGATATCACGAAAGGCAGAGAACGCACTCAGAAGATTCCACTTCTGGCCCTCTGGAATAGGTATGTGTCTCTTGGAACTGAGATACTGAAATAGATGATGGTGATGGTGTTGAGCCCAGTGCATTGAAAGTGCTCAATGATCAGTTGGTGAACCAACTTTTCAAAATGTTTGTTCTGTTAATGAGAAGGAACCTGAAGAATGACTTCAACTTGGACTTCATCTGGAATGAGAGGCAGCTAACTGAAGTCCAAGGATTTGGAGACAATCAATGGAGGGAGAAGAGAGGAGCAACTTAGAGGCTTACCTAGACTATAAGTATTTGATATGCCAAAATTCACCAGTGTCTGAAGTTCTAATACCAAAGCCATTATTACACCACACACGGTGGCCAGATTATCCACTTGGTGCCTCTATCATCAGCAGCTCTATTTGTTTAAGAGGAGCTGTAGAATGTTTACAATTGAGTTTCCTCTAGTCACCATGTTTCCTGTCTGGGATTTTTTTAAAAACATATAAACCAAGTCAGAATATAATGTTTCTTAACATAAAAAAAAAAAAAATCTTTATTGCTATTTTAGCTTAAAAGGTGATCAAAAATATTTATTCTGCCCTTAACTCATAGCTTCATAGAGTATTATGGAATGTGGTTTCACTTGTCATCTTCCCCTAAAGCAAGAAAAAGCAGAAAAATTCTAATGGTGTTTTTGGTTAAGAAATTAATTCTACATACAAGTTAGTGAAGATTACAGATTCATGCTAAAATAAAGTATTTATAAAATAACAGGTATTCCATTTTAAAACAAAGCCATGAAAAAGATATTCCATTTTATTTTATTTATTGTTATTGTTATTGTTATTTTTTACAAACAATAGATTTGCTGCAACATGCTCTGGCTCATATTATTGAATTAAAAAATTTAACACATTTCAAAAATATCAAAAATACACTATAATGAGTCTTAGGACTAGAATACGACAATGATTGCACAAAATAAGATATGAACTCACTGTTTGGATGACATCCATTGGCAACAGTGAGAGAAAACCCTATAGCATCTGGGAGAAGTGCATGAAATTTAGAATACGAGGAGCTTATGTGTGACTGAATGATCACCAAATGAGGGAAACAGAGCAGGATTTACTGTAGCTGCTTTTCTCAATCTAGGAAGTGCTTACCCAGCTGTGGGGCAAAAGTCACTAACTGGAGAGAAAGATGAACTTGCCTCCATGATTGGGGAGTCTGAAAGGCCCCGCCCAGAGGAGAGTAAAAAGTGACACAAGACAGTTCTGTAGTGATGCTGCAGACATCACTGAATGGCTTGGAGACTTTAATAATTGATACATGTATCGATAACAGCCAAGTGCTCCCTTATGGAGGTCTCTTCATTAATAATTATTGAGTAGATAGAGAAGGTGAGCCTGTGGCTTCCAAGTACCTGCTTTTGCTGAAGGTCTACATGGAAAGAAGAGCTTCACTTGATATTCAGTAGATCAGCCAAACCTAACTAACTGGCTCCATCTCCTGAAAAATAGCACTCACTACAAACAATTATTATAGCACCCAATGATTACCAAGCTGCTCATGTTGGCTTTTCTATACACCAGGAAAGGAACTCATAAACTTATTGCACACACACGCTCACAGTAGTATAATAAAGCCTTCACTTGTATTAGGAGTGGTAGTTCAATGACTCTATGGTAGCACGGTAGCTTCATGATATACCAACATTCAAATGTTCAAATATATTCCCAGTTCATCTGGATAAAAAGTAAGAATACCATGGCTGCCAAGACTTGTGTATTTTTCTTTCTTCCATAAGACTGCTGAACTGTTCCCATAAGCAGGAATGATGTTCTTTCAGAAATTCTCTAACTTTTCTATTAAATGGGAGGTACACACAGAGACCTGAGAATCATGCAGAGGCCAGGATCTCTGGGCTAGAGATCAATGGTACTCTGCCCACCTGGGGAACACATCCTCTGGGTAAAGTCCTAGGAAGTAGGTTACATTCACCTGGAGACAGATTACTTACTTTCACTACCTGACAGTCTAATCGCTTCACACAATGACTATAAATGGCCTCACAGGTCAAAAGATTCTGTGTATTTTTGGTAATAGGCTATGGCCTTTTTAACCTCTGTTTTAATACAGAGCAATTACAGAGGAAAATGGGTTAAAGGAAGTTACTAAAAAAGAATGATTAGTTTTGGTATAGTCTATATTAAAGGTTTCCAATACAAACTACCACATAGAACATCTGGAATTTCAGAGTTCTCCTGACTAAAAAGTAAATACATTTACTTCTGGTAAAGTCATTTCAGAACTGGGTTTTATGGTGTTTCCATTAAGTAGGGTGGGTAACAGAGAAGACAAGAAGAGGGTTCACAGATAAAGGACAATTTTAAAGAGACTATACTATTAAAGTGGTATGTTCCCCAAACAACTTTCTTTTCTAGACATCACTATTCTCTAACTCAGAGGTTCTAAGGGTGTTTCCTTCACTTTTTTTCTTTTTCACTTTCCTATATAAAAATAAGGCAGCAACACACTATTGTTCCCATCTTTATAACAGCACCCAAAACTCTGTATGAACCACTGTGTTCCCCACTTCATATCAAGACCTGAGTTCTACAATCCTGCAGTAGCTGACCAGTAGTTTGACACAGGGAAGTCAAGTGTTCCTGACAATTTGGGGACACAAATTCAAATTCTTGAGGGGTTGAATTTAGACAGTCATTGTAGTGCTATGGAGCCCCCCAAGAGTGTACCCCACCAAAA